TGTACCTAGCGACAAAACACGTGTACCGCGATGGTAACGCTCCGAACGGCTAACGGACTTACACGTCGACCACATACGGCTAATACGAATGCGGATATAAAAAAGTGTTGGGTATTCAAAGTACAAAAAAACACGAAACGCGCCATGATGGCCAGCGGAAAACGTAGGTGGTGAAAATATCACGTTCTTTAGCGATACGCGCTGCCACGAATACATCTGTAGTTTATCTGGATATTATAATATAGTAGTAGACATAAGAGTTGTACTTACCGGTATGTGAAAAGCGCCCAATGCAGAACAACAAAACTCAAAGGAAAGCACTGAAATATTGAATAACAATACAACGTATCAGGCTTTCCTGAGAGAGTTGATGTGCGTTGCAAGAGCGCCGGTCACGAGATGACGCGGGTCGACACGGGCGCGTTTCGTGTCGCCAAAGTTGTCCATCCAGCGCACGGTTTAAGATAGACAGGTTGCGCATCGACGTATGTTAAGCTTACTGACCAAGTGACTATGCAATGTACTAACATAAACTGACTGACAGTAAGTGCCATCTAGCGTTGACGCCTATAAGTTTTACTAAATCGTGCTAAAACAGTAATTTTATTTTGCAATGATTTTAATTATGACTATTGTTAACTTATTTTTAATCTCTCTAGGTATCTCAAACCTCAATATTATTCACTGAGTGTCTCTTCCACTTTAGGTCTTTGCACATTGTCAACCATTTGCTATTCTACGAACTACAATATTAACGTTGTTTAATTTTATTACATACTAACTAGGTACATATTTACAACACATTTTTATAGGAAATCTTTTTAAAATAAATCAACCAAAGAAATTCGTTATATATTATATTAATTTAATTAGATACTTAAATAGTAAATTACAACTAACACAAAAAGAATAAACATGACATATGCAATTTAAATTAGTTGGATAAGTATGTGATTAAGAATTTATAATAATAATAATACTTGTGAAATACTGAAATCTTAAAAATATATTTAATTAATTAATCCTCTAATATCAAGAAATAATAATACCAATCTAAAAGTTAATCTTCTAATTTACAAAACCCTCCTGAAACCTATTTGGACTTATGGCATACAGCTCTGGGGTTCAGCAAAAAAATCCAACACCAATAAAATACAAGTATTCCAAAACCTAGCTCTTCGACGACTCTCCAATGCACCACTGTACTGCCAGTGGGCGGTTTCTTATTCAATTGTCCACGTCCTGTCTTCTCTCAGCACATAAGCTTATTGTACATTACTTGTAGGTAAAGATTGTTTATTTCTAATAAAAAAAACGAATACAACAATAGTTATGATTAGACATTTTAAAAATTTAAATTTAAATATAATATATACACTGTGTTAAATATTAAATCTATAACTTAATCATTTAATACTGTTTAAATTAATGTCATTCGACATTCAACTAGTCATTAGGACTGTTTAATCTAAATAATAATCAACTAATCAAGGTTTATTTGATAATTAAAAATTAAAAAGCGATTTTGTGAAATAAAAAAACCGTGGAGCTTATTCCGTTCAGAAAGGAATTATTATTAAAACAATAATATACTATAGATTATGAATATTACCGCTAGATCGCGTTATGTGCCAGTAAGTTTTTGTAAGCGCTTTCTCATTCCACTTTTTTTCGTTCGACGCGCAACCAGTCTATCTTAAATCGTGATCCAGCGGTACCACTCCACGCACACAGCGCGTCAGTGTTGCGTATAATAACGGTCGTAATAGCGCGTGGTTTTGCAGTGTCGCTCCTTAATCGTCCACTTTTAATATTACACACACCGGCATACGTAAACACTTACCTATGTGGCTATGTATTGGGCGAGTACGCACACAATAATAATAACAATAATAATAATAAAAAACAACCTCCTAACCTAACGTACCCATATTTACCTACGTCATTCGTGTACAACATTGTATTGTAATAGGTATTATTATTATGTGTCAAGACATTAAGTATACCACCAAACGCAAACATCGTGACCGTTAAGTTACTCTATTTATTGTCTTGGTACATAATATATTAATAATACATTATGCATTGTTAGTTTACTGGTGTCTTTTGTCAGGTAGAAGGTACACACGTAGGATAATTTTTTAATACCGGTATACACGTAAGACATGAGTCATAACGCAGTACCTACAGATCAATATGAGAATGCAATTGTAACATCAAATAAACGGTAGAACCTATACGACCTGCACAAACAAAATATCGCGTAAAAACAATGCTCTCCGACGCATATATCCACGTGCTCCCCGCGACGTCAATCGGAGCCGGTTAACGGAAATAACGGACAGATCAGAAACGCGAAAAAAAATATTCGAAAATTGTCGACTTTCCCGACGGCCGGCGTCGAAACCACGACCCCCCCCCCCCCGGGTCATCCACACTACCGCCTAAACCTACCTGCCTACCTACTGAGTTGAGAACTGGAGTCAATTATAAATTATATGTATTTAAGCCTGTATATAGCGATACCTACTCGACGGCAGCGCCGCGGGCCGTCCGCTTTCCGCGACGCCGCTTCGCCCCGGGACTTGTCCGGAAGAAAGTACAAATTTAGCGGGGAACGCGAATAAGTCGTCAACGGGGAGGTCAGTAGAGGCGTTAAAACTCGAATTTTGAAAAAAATCGGTACATATACGTTAAAAATGAAAAGACGGAAGTGATAGCGAAACGACGAAACCTACCTAGCCACCTACTGAGATGAAAGCTTCAGTCAAATCTATGGCTGTTAAGCCGAGTTGCCGTCCCCGCGAAAGGCGAACGCCGTTTGATCGTCAGTCAAAGCGCGTCGTAGCGGGCGAAATCGAACCTCGAGACGCATGTATTTATGCCCGTTTATAGCAATACGTAATCGGTACCTACTCTCTTTTCCGCGACGCCGCTCCTCCCCGGGACTCGTTTTTGAAAAAGAAGGGCCTCGCGCCGGTTATAAATTTAGCGGGGAACGCGAATAAGATCCAAACGGGGAAACCCGAGGGGGGTAAACCTCGAAAATGTAAAAAAAAAATCGTGAAAAATGGTCAAAACTGTGAAAAGTGATAAGGAGGAGTGATAACGCAGCGACGGCTCCGCAAAAAACGCATGTACCTATTTATGCCTGTATATGCGATACGTACACGGTACCTATACTCTCGTTTCCGCTCCTCCACGGGACTCGTCTGTGTATAAATTTAGCGGAGAACGCGATTAAGTCGTTGACGGGGAGGGTGGTAAAGGGCTAAAACTCGAATTTTCGAAAAAAACGGCAAATAAAGCAGTCATATTATAGTCGTACTATTTAACCACCAGGATTTAATCAGTTCTATTAGATCTATTAGTTTATTAATATCATATTAAACAGTATTTATAATCTGTAGCAGTATACCTAACCTAACCAAAAACTGTAATATATCAAGTAGGTTAGTTATATTATATTGTATTTAAAAGAAACATTATAGGTGCGTTGCTCAATAAATATTGTCAAACGAATAGTAATATATAAAAATACCGATACATATAATATAATAACTCGAATTTTGATAAAAAACGGAACACATTCGTTAAAAATAATAAATGTGACGAAAAAAAAAAACGCGAAAAAAAAAATTCGATTTATCACGGCCGCCGCAAATTATCGAAAATCCCGGGAGGCGGGTTCGAAACCACGACCCTCGAGTTACCTGTCCTAACGCCTAACCTACCTCGGTTACCTACCGAGATGAATATCGGAGTCAAATGTATGACTCTAAGGCTCGGGCCATACGATGCGGTATTGCCGCATGCGTTAAAATGAATTGCGGTGACGCCGCAATGACATATCGGGCCACACGATGCGTTGCATTGCGTTGTGACCGGATGCGTTAGGTATATTTTTAAAATTTTCTAATATAAGTCTAAATTTGGGAACTCAAAATTAATTTAGAATGAAAAATTAATTTAGTTTCAATCTAGACTTGGTATCAGAAGGTCGATAGTCTATACCATGTCCAATAAAAGATTGTTGAAAGTGTTGTGTGTGGCAGAAGCTGCTGGAGAATTGGATGAACCTACTACTTCAAAACGAAGATACTGGGTACATCCCTTAAATTCTGATAGAGAAAAAAATAATAACTTTTTAGAATTTTATGGAAATATACGAAAGCACCCCGAAAAGTTTTTCGAGTATTATCGAATGTCGGTTAGGTCATTCGATGAACTCTTGGCTAAGATTCGTCAACATTTAACTAAAGAAGTTACTAACATGCGTAATCCTTTGAGCCCGGAGGTTAGACTGACGGTGACTATAAGGTAAGTCGATAAAATATATTTTTTACCTTAAATTGTTTGAAATTATAAAATAGTAAAAGTTATACCTTTAGTATTAAAGTCTCTCGCTAACCTTATATAACTAAATACATTTGTTAATAATAATTAATAATAACATAATAATTAATAGGTATAATGACTCAATAATCAATACAAATAAGTACTTAGGTGCTTAACTTTATAACATATAAAACTGATACAAATATATAATATATATAAATATGTCACATACATACAATATAGGTACCTATTTAAAAAAAAAAGTTGTATATATTTCTATATGGACAAAATTAACGTAGGACCGTTGTAAACGTGATTACACGTATTAATATAATAATATCACCATAAGTACTATGTTGAACTTTGTATTCATACCTGTAGGCTGTAATTTTTTATTATAATTAAAATATAAATAAGAACACGTATACGTTATGAAAAAATGTATTCTTTTTTAATTAACTTCTAAATACAAAAGAAAGAAAATGTATTAACTGTTTAAAAAAATAAAAAATTATAAGCTGTTAAGTATATAAAATATAGAAACTAGTACCATTTATAGGTAATAACAAATAATAAAAATAACTGTTTAACTTTTATAAGCTTCTTAAAATAAATAAAAAAAAACAAATTATTATCACTTTTTAAAATACGTAAATTTTCATTTACATTTGATGATGGTTGCCATCTTGGGGATTATGCGGAGGAAAATGTTGTTGCTTTGGTTGATAAGGTGCAGATATGTTTTCAGAAGAAGGTAGTTGAGGACATTGATTTGGAATTGGTGCAGGATACCCGGAATAAAAATATGGAGCATTATTCTGAGGATTAAATACTGGAGTTTGATAGGAATAATTATTATTTTGTGGATAAGATTCATTTTGAAAAAATTTAAGTACGTACATTTTAAATTCTAATTTTTTACCATCACTTAATTGTTTTACTTGAGGAAGTAAAGATTTCAAAAAAAGTTCATCCGTGTCAGTTAATTCTTGTTTTTCCAAGTGATCCAATAGTTTGCTCTGAAAAATAGTCATTTTTGGATTTTTTTTATTTTTTTTTGAAGTACTCGGTGGGGTGTTCTGTGCGCTTAAGGACATATCCAGTAGCTGTGATGGGTGTTCTTGGTCTGATAATGTATTCTCATGATCTTCAGCCACTTCATCTCTATCCGAAACCTGAGCATCTGATACGTTTTGTGTGTCGTTTATAAAATTTCCTGAGGTACTATTTAAATAAATCAAAAATTGTAAAAATTTAATTAGGAGATTATTGAAATTAAATAGTACTTATATTACAAAAAAGCTTTATAATTTGATAATAACTACATCAACAATTGGAGCAAAAAATAAAATAAATATTTTAATACTTTAAACCAGAACGAAGTAAATGAAAAATTAAGGAAAAAACGTAAATTTTTACACAAAATCGATTTTGGTTTTTGGTGTAACTCTAAAAGAAATTTTTTTTTTTCTATGAATATTAATAAAATTGTATTTGTTGGGTGAAAATTCTTGAACATTTAATAGAAGGCTCATAATATATTTTTTCAAAGGCAGATTAAAAATATTAAAAATTCGTAGTCACAATTTTTTGTTCTAAGCATTTTAAATTCAAATTTTGACAAAATACGTAAAAATAACGATAATTTACAAATTTTTTTGTTAGAAATTCATAAAAAATTTTCTTTTTGAATCTAAGATTTTAAAATGTAATACAAGATGTATCATAAGTTTGTCTACTTTTATCAAAAAAAAAAAAATAAACTAAAAGCAATTCAAAATAAATATCTTTGGATTCAAATTTAACACAATCCGTTACAGTGACTCACTTATAACCTACTGTACAGCAGAGCGACATCCACTTAACCACCTTTTTATTGTTGACCCCCCCCCCCAAAGTACCAAGTGGTGATGACATGAACACAAAAAATAAAAAATAAAACGCATGATTGTAAAATTAATACATTCATCAGAATCTAAAATTTAAATCTGATACACATTTTTTTTTAAACATTTCTAAATAGCCAATTGATAAATCTGGTTTTACATATTATATTAAATTTACCTTCTTCTATTTAAATTTGGTGTCAAAAACGATAACAAATTAGCAAAGTGGTATTTTTTCTTTATTTTTGTAGCAGCAGAACCACTTTTAATATTTTTTTCTTGGTTTTTATATTTCATATAGTTGTCGCGTACATGTCTCCATTTTTTGTCCTTTATATCTTTTGCTAAAATGAAAATTTATTTCCTTATTAATACATTTTTAAATATATTGTTAGATATCTGTCAACTGGAACTTGTTTTAAAGCTATGCAATTTGATTTTAATATTGGGAAGAGTACAGTAGCACAAATTGTCAAAGAAACTTGTCAAATTTGTTGGACAGTATTACAACCAACGGAAATGTCTCCGCCGACTACGGAACAATGGCTTGATATAGCTGAACATTTTTATACAAGTACGAACTTTCCTAATTGTCTTGGGAGTATCGACGGGAAACACATAAGGTGTAAAAATCCACAAAACTCAGGTTCATATTTTTTCAATTATAAGAAATATTATTCTATTATTCTTATGGCTGTAGTAGATTCAAATTTAAGTTTTGTTTGTATTGATGTCGGGGCATTTGGACGAGAATCTGATTCTAATGTGTTTAAGCAATGTCCATTTGGAAAAAAATTGTATGCCAATCAGCTTAATATTCCTGAACCTAAGTGCTTACCAAATACCGATGACTCTCCTCAACCTTACGTTTTTGTTGCTGATGAAGCTTTTGCACTGCACAAAAATTTACTCAGACCATATCCAGGCCGTGGGCTTACAAATACTCGTCGTATATTCAACTATAGGCTTTCAAGAGCAAGAAGGACGGTTGAATGTGCATTTGGCGTACTTTCAAATAAGTGGAGAGTGTTACATACGCCACTATTGGTTGAACCAGATTTTGCGGACGACATCATAAAAGCATGCTGTATACTACACAACTTTGTCCGCAAAAGAGATGGTTATAATTTCGAGGACATGGATACTAGCTATTTGGTAGATGGTTTATCTAATAGAGGACCGGGAGTACGATCTCAAGGAATTGAGGTCAGAGATTCTTATGCAGAGTATTTCATGGGACCAGGATCCGTACCATTCCAGTATAACAAAATATAAAAATACAACATCTACCTATGAGTTATTATTAATACTTATTAAAATCAATAATTAGTTTTTATTTATTTAGGTATGTATTTTGGAATATTAACATTTTAAATATGTATAACGTATGTTGTATGTACTTACCTATTTTGATTTCAATTATTATTAATTAATAATTTTTCACTTTACTGTAATTTGTTTTTATTCACATTAATTAAATATATGTTACCTTTTTCCTCTTTTTGAGCCGTTGAAAGTTCTTCCCAATTCGGATACATAGCGGCAGCCACAGAATTCCATGCCCAGGGGCGGATTGGGGCGAGATTTCAGCCCGGGAAAATACAAAGTATACCGGCCCACTTACCAATTTACCAAATATTTAATTTTAGCCAACATAATATTATTATGTATTACTATTTTAACATAACTACACGTTTGGCGAGATATGAAATTTATAAAACTTTATTCGTAGTGTATATTATACATCGATATCAAATTTATTTTTATTTTTGAACAGTTTATGTTTACACATTTGTAATAATCCAAACTCCAAGTACTTATATATAAACCAGTAAAAGTGAATAATTTAAATTACTAATGTTACGATTTTTGTATTTAATAAGAAAGGTTATTACCTATTGAATAATATTTAATAATGCGTTTTTAGACTTAAATAAAAGCTTATAATTTACTTCCACTTAATATACCTGATAGGTAAATTAACAGAATCAACATGCAAAATGTATGTGTATCTTTTTATTTTCTAAAAAAATGTTTTACTGTGGTTTATTCATAATAACATTATGTAGGCACTTCAATAATCAATTCTAAACAACCAGAAAAATTGTATAGTCTTTTTTTTCTTTAGTATTTTTATGTAATGTAATATTGAGTAAAATGTTTTGTCTCCGTCTTAGTACAATCTAACAAATTATCGTTCACTATCTGTACTCACCAATCAGCTAAATATTATACAAATTATTGTATACCTACCTACGTAACGTTACTTCCCTATTATTCAATAATATTTTAATCATAGTTTTCGATATTACAGTGCTTACTGCTCAAATCAGGTTGACTTTTTCTATTTTCTACTTCCGCGGGATGTCAAGTAAAGCAGACTTTTCCCGAAGTGTGTTCCTAATGTGGTTTTACATAACATATCAAGGGTTGTTTTCGATTTTAATTTTTAACTGTCCTAACTAGTGACCCCGCTATATTACATTTGCTGTTTTTGCTTTTCGAAAAATACTATATTTTTGCTTTCTGTCTCTCATCGTTGTGTCAGCAATCCACCGTAGGTAGATTGCCTACCTGATATACCTACTATTGCATACTGTCCTCAATCCTATTCGTATTATCTTATTTTGAAAAATCGGAAAAGAAATGCAAATTTACTGGGCTGGTACCTAATAGGAATTTAAGAATACATAGTTATTTGAAAAAAAGCGGCCCACCGGGAAAACTTCCGAATTCCCGGTGGCCCAATCCGCCCCTGTCCATGCCAACATTTTCATTGGCTTGTCGTGGTAATCGTTTGAGCCAATATCCCATAAACAAGGCCTTGACTGAACTTCGCTTATTAGTTTTTCAAAGTCGAACATTTTTTATGCGTTTTTTAAAATTCAAAAATGACCAATTGGAAAATAACGATTTTTCACCGCGTGCGTTATTACCGCGTCGTGTGGTCGATATAATTGAAATACATGTGTTTTGTATTGATAACAGTGTGCGTTGCTGCCGCACCACCGCAGCATGTTGCGGTGGAAACCTGCCGCATACGGCAACACCGCGTCGTGTGGCCTGTTCTATTTAAAACTAAACGGTCCGTACAAAAACCCAACGCATGCGGCGACACCGCAAATAGCCGCATGCGGCAAGAACGCGTCGTGTGGCCCGAGCCTTAAGCCGCGTCGCCGAGCTCGCGAAAGGCAAACGCCGTTTGGACGGCCGGAAAAGGGCGTTTGAGCGGGCGATTCGACCGCGTCGGCGAGCGGACGACCGTGTCCGCCGCCCTCGGACGTATAATACGCGAGATTTGCGAAAAAAATCGAACCTCGAGACGCATGTATTTATGCCTGTATATAGCGATACATACACGGTACCTACTCACGTTTCCGCTCACGTTTAACCTCCCCTGGACTCGTTTTTGAAAAAGTAGGGCCCCGCGCCGGCTATAAATTTAGCGGGGAAAGCGAATACGTCGCCGACGGGGAGGTCGGACGTCTCGTGAAGGCGCCGAACGCGACTCTAGTCGAAAAAGTCGGGAAAACCGTCGAAATGGCGACGACGCGGCGCTATCGGCGATCGATTCGTCCGCCGCGGGACTCGCTTTTGAAAAAGTAGGGGCGAGCGCTGGCTAGAAATTTATCGGGGAACGCGAATGAGATCCAAACGGGGAGGGCGGTGCGCCCTAAAACGCATAAAACTCGAATTTTCGAAAAAAAAAGGCAAAAACGCGCGCGACGGCGGCGCTCGGTTCGCACGCGATATCCGCCGCGGAGGGCCCGCCGGGAAAAAGTACGTCGTACTCGTAATAGTTAATCTAGCGGGGAACGCGGATAAGGTCCGAACGGGACCGCCCGAGGCCCCCGGGCGGGGTAAAACTCGAAAAATTTGAAGAAAAATCGTGAATTTCGAGAAAAGCGATAAGGAGGAGTGATAACGCAGTGACGGCTCCTACGCCGCCGGGAGACCCCCCTCCGGGGAAATTGAATTTTCTCATTTAAGGGTTCCCTATAAAGTACCGATTTAACGCATAGGCGGCGCCTCACGTATTCACGCTTTATAGTATAAGACTAGCTCTCCGAGCGTCGCTGGGGGACACCCCCAGACCCCTGGGTGTGGGTCATGAGTGTTTTCGATTTCGGAAGCAGCGGTGGTCTCGTGGTGCGGTCGTGGGCTCAGCTGACTCGGTGTATGGGTGATGTGGAGGTCTGGTGATAAGGATCTTTGCAAGAAATTAGTGATATAGATATTGGATTTGTGATAAGGATAGTAGATTTGTGATAAAACATAGTGATAAGGATATTAGATTTATGATAAGGATAGTGGATTTGGATAAGGTTGGGTGCTGAGGAGGTATGGTGATGAGGATGTATGATAAGGCTAGGACCACTGCGGTTCGACTTCGTAGCTCGGGCAGGCCATCCGGACGGCCGGGTCGTCGAGTAGCGGACAAACTCTTTGACAGTCTTTTCGACAACGCCGCCGGAAACTCGATATTTCGTAAAAAAATTATATAGTCGTTGTATTTTTGTGGGTGTCTAGCCATGTCTTCACCTTAGTAATAGTATTTGGGGTCTAGCAGATAAGTTACGTTCCTCGACTTTGGTCATAGTCTCCCTGGACAATAATCGACGGCTGTAGCACGTCATCACGTATGCTATCCGACTGCGTCGAATCGCGGACGACGTTCATTACTGTTACCGAAAACGCAAAATTAAAGAAAGAATAAATTAAGTGAAGAAAATTCAAAATATTTCGGTTGTCCATGCAAATCATATAGCCACCGTCTGAATGTATTGGTGTCTAGCAGGTCAGTCATCTATGTTATCCGGGTAGGCATCGTGCGACTGGGACAGCGTCCATTACAGTCAACGACAATGCAAAATTAATATATGAATTATGTGAAAAAAAATTCAAAACATTTCGTAAGCAATCCGACTACCGAGTCACCTTCCTAGACGTCATTACTTCAAAATTTAGGTCTACGATTTTATAATTATTTATTATTACTAACAATTAGTTATTACCTACTTACACCACAGATGAAATATCTATTGGATTTTAACAAAAAAAAACCGAAAAAACCTGAAAAACCTCTACATCAAAATATAGGTTTCGGTTTCTTTTCTTAAAACAATGTATTTAATTGTTCCGGTCCGGTTTCGGTCCTAAGATTTTCAAAAGGTTTCGGTCCAATACCGGTCAATTTCGGTACGGTTCCACTACTACTACTCGGTAGGACGGCTTTCGCCTATTAACTATTCCAGGCTTTGCCTTTGCTAGTCGCGGGATGTTAGACTAATTTTTTGATTTGTTGGATTTACTTATTTTTTTTTTCATTTTTTTTATTGGTTGTTTGCCCAGAGTTTTGCTCTAGGGGGTTGAGGGTACCTTGGGTGAAGTGGTGAGGGGGTCTGGCCTATGTTCCTGATGTTGTTATATTGAGATTTTGAGCAACGGTAGAACATAGCTACAGAGTTTTTCTTGATGGTATTCCTGACGGTGTCAAATCCTACTGTGTTCAGGAGGACCTAGTTCCGTACTATTGACGATTGACCCAGGATGGTCCGGACACCTATGGTCTGTACAGCTTCGATTTACACCCATGAAGATTTGCATGCAAATGGCGCCCATGATGCACCAGCATAGGTTAAAATGGGTAGAATATATAATTTGAAGAGGTTTAGTCTAGTCCTTGCTGGGATAGGGCTTTTTTGTTGAGGATTGAGTAAAGTATGCCACGAATTTGGGTAGCTTTTTTGACAATTTTTGATACATGATTGGAGAAGCTTAATTTTTGGTCGATTGTTACACCTAAATATTTTACGCTCCTGGACCAAGGGATTAGTATGTTATTAATTTGGATATTTTTTAAGTTTGTAGTTTTTGTACGGCCGAACAGAATTGCAGTAGTTTTGGATTCATTTATCCGAAGTCGCCACTTTTTGAACCAGGCTGATGCCAGGTTAATTTGTTTCTGAAGTTGTAAAATTGCAAAACGCGCATTATGGTTTGAACAATAAAACATTGTGTCATCCGCAAACAAAGAAACTCGAGAATTTGTATTCGTAGGTAGGTCATTAGTATAAATATTAAAGAGCGTAGGGGAAATACAAGAGCCTTGTGGCACGCCCGCATTTGACATCCTTACTGACGGGTTTTGGTCCTCAATTTTAACAAAAAAAATACGATCCGAGAGGAAAGATTCGGTAATTTTTATAAGTTGAAGAGGAATGTCCATGGACATCATCTTGTGGAGAAGTCCATCGTGCCAGACAGTGTCAAAGGCTTTTTCAACGTCAAGGAAGATGGCAGCTGTTTGAATACCATGGTTGAAATTGTCGCTGATTTGGTCTCTTAGTTTGGTTAGTTGGAGGAAAGTAGAGTGGTTTTGACGGAAGGCGAACTGCTCATCTCTTATTTTGCCAGCTAAAGTGTCTTGGAGATACTGAAGGATTAGACGTTCATAAATTTTTGAGAGAGAGGAGAGAAGAGCTATAGGTCTATAACTTTCCGGTAATTGGGGATTTTTGCCGGGTTTTGGTATTGATATTATATGAGATAGTTTCCATATGTTAGGGAAGTAGCAGAATTTAAAACAACTATTGATGATTTTTGTAAGTTGTAGTATTTTGTTTTTGGGCAAAAATGTCAGGGCTGTGTTTGTGATTTGGTCCCATCCAGGTGCTTTGTTCTTTACGAGCGTGTCAATTAGTTTTTGGATTGCACCCGGAGAAGTGAAGATGGGTGAACTATTTGTGACTGATTTCTGGAGCGTTGAGATACGGGCTTGAACTTCCGGGAGATTTGGTCCATGAATAGTTGTGAACTGTCGTTCCAGGGAATCTGCAAAAATTTCTGTTTTTTCCTGAGCTGAGTACACCAAACCACTGGGCCCTAAGATAGGGTGGGTGGCTAGTTTCTTCCTTAATAAGTTTCTGTTTAGTTTGTATATTGATTTTTCATTTTGATTTAAGGAGTTCATATATTTATCCCATTCATCTTGTCTATGGGTCCGGAGCATTAGTCTTATACAAAGTATTTTTGAGTTTAGTAACCTTTTTGTCGTAGGGTCACGGGTCCGTTGCCATTCTCTGCGTAAGCGGTTTTTGGCGCAGATTTCTAGCTGAATTTCAGTAGGAATGATAGGTTGGCGCTTTTTGGAATTTCGGACGTAAGAGCTGTTGTCTAGTGCAGATTGTATAGAGTTTGTGAAGTTTTGAATATTGCTGTCAATGCTTTTCTTGGTGTTCGTAGGGGGATTGACACTGGATTTTTCCGCTAAGAATGTGATAGAATTTTTTCCAATTGATAGAAAGGTTTGGCGATGGAGGGGATGTTTTAATTGGTGAGTCAGATAGCTCTAGTAGAATTGGATTATGATCCGATGAAAGTTCATTGAGGTTTGTGAGTTGAATTAATAGAGTGGTGCGGATTATGGCAATGTCGAGTACATCCGGCCTGTATTTGTATGAGTTTGGAAAATGGGTTGGAGTGTCAGGTGCTAATATTGAGTAGTTGTTTTGCTGAAGGTGATTGTATAATATCATTCCTCCAGAGTTAATTTTACGACTGTTCCAGAGTGGGTGCTTAGAGTTTAAGTCACCAGCAATTACGAAATTGTCAGCACTGTTGGTAAGAAGGTCCAAGTCAGAAGGGTCTAAGGTAGACGAGGGAGATTTGTAGACCGAGGAGACAAGCAAGCTACTGTTGTTGATTTTAATTAAAATAGAAGTAGATTGGAGTTTAGTATTTATTTGAATTGATTGATGAATAATATTACGATGAACCAAAATTGCTGTGCCGCCATGGGCTTTTGAGCCCGGCCGTAACGGCAGGTCATTTCTGTAAGTAAAATAGTTTGGGATTTTGAGGCTTAAGTTTGGTTTTAGGTGTGTTTCACCGATTAAAATAATATCAAGTTTGATTGAGGAGGCTAGTGCATTGAGTTCGTTTATTCGTTTTGAAATGCCGTTGGCGTTCCAATGTAAAATTTTTAGATTTGTGTTCATTTTTGTTTACCGAAGAGGGTCAAGAAGGACTTTATTGTGGATAACAGCATTTCTTTGGGGTCATTTGTTGTAGATATGACCGTGAGGAGATCAGATAGTAGGGCTAAGATTTGCTCGTTGCTGATTGTTTCCTTGGATTTAGTTGCTGTAGGGTAGTCCATTTTTGTGAGATCTGTGATGGTTGGTTGCGTTGGATGTTTAGTGGTTATTTGGGCAGATTTGGCGATTGTGGCTTGAGTAAGATATGGGCAGCCACGGTACCCACATAGCAATTTAAACATATTCAATATTTAACACATATGTTGGTTACAATATTACTAAATTTCATATTGGTGCAATATGTTTTTTACATGTATGAGCAAGATATTGTTAAAAAATATTCATATCACATTTTGAAAATATGTTTCTAGAATTATTTTAAAAACATGTAGGTTCAATTATTGGCACAATGTATTTTTATTGTGTAGTAAAAATATTTTTATAAAATACATAATTAAAACGCTTTGACAATATTTCTTTAAAATATTGTGTCAACAATATAGAGTGTTTCTCGTTCCAATATTTCTTCAAGATAGTTGTAGCAATATGTTTAAAATAAGTTACAGCAGATGAGCAAAATATGCAGATACTGCATCATTCTTGCGTAAATATTTATAATTTTAAAATTTTAAACAAGTCGTCCCCTATCTCTGTCTTAGTGCCTTGTAGCCTGTAGGTTCCAACATTGTTAACCTTACTCTGTACCTTTTGTGATAAATATAATATAATAGAAGATAGAACTCGAATTCTCTGATATATCTTTCTAACAATGTTGGTTTCGGACATTGTCTGCTACTAGTCCATTAACCATTTATTTATAGCCTATAATTATAGGTCTGTTGTCTATGGAATACATTTAAATCCTGCTCAAATAATCAATTGATTTCAAACCAACATATTCTAATAAAGCTATTCGAAAATAATATATAGAATTTGCTATTTTAGTTCATGGTATTTCAATATTGATTAGAGGGATCCGGATCCCCAAATATTTCAAAGTGTACCTTCTAAACACTATTATGACACATTCAAACTTCTTATTAATAAGTAATAAGTTAATTATTTGTTATGAATTAATATTTTATTTTATTACCTATTATTCGTTATGCAATCATCGTGTTTAGAAGGAAAAAATTCGAAGGTACAAAAAAAAAATCAAATTTAGACAAATTACAAATATAATATATCTATGATTTATATATAATATATATATTATAATTTATATTTATGACCTGTGGCGGCATTACGTTTTATTCAGTCAATACAGGTTAAAAATAACATAATATTATTATTATCCATAAATATTTTCCCGATCAACTGCCGATCGTCGCCGACCACTTTTATTTTATTTTTGTCTTTGACTCTCTTGTAGTCTTGTGTAATAAATTGACTACGCATACGGCATTAAACGCTTGGTGTTAATATTTAATTTACTCTTTAGTTTTTATTGTTTATAATTAAATGTATATTTCTTTGTTATGGGGCGCTAGAAAAATTTCGCCCCAGGGCGCTTAATGTATAAATGCTCCACTGGATCTGCTGAGCGTAAATTTGCAATGTTATGCATTATTATTATTGTAAGACGGAGACAACAAATGTATACAAATGTAGGTGTATAGGTATAGTGTATAGGTACTACAAACTGTACTGTATGATTATGTAATATTATAATTCACCAACCGAATCCCTTGCTATATACTACCGCCGCCGGTAGAATGCTACTTATAACCCTAGAACAATTTATAGAAGCGAGGGGTGAAGTGGCCGTGCGGACGCGCACCGTCGCCGGTTCGAATCATAATTTATATTTTATAGACAAGAATCTCGGACATGGGCGCTTTGTTCTTCGGGGCAGTTCACGCTGTCTGGAGAAAGAAGCCACCGCCCCCCACCCGGGCATGACAGAAACTTACGGGTGCCCACTAGAAATTCTGCCAAACACACAAGACGTGTCCCACAACCTACAGTACCGCCCCCCCATCAATGATGGCCTTTGTTGCCGCGGATTAACTAAATAGTAAATAATAAAAAAAAAATATAGAAGTGTACTGCCAAACTCGATCAGCTGATTATGGTATTGCAGGTTACCTATGATCGGAAGTCTGAAAAACACGAAAACTGTATCTACGCACCAGCATGATGTCATACCCAGCGGTTACCCGTATTATGATAACGATTAACTAACCTATAGGCTATAACGGTCGCCGCCCGCCATCACATCCCTGGCTGCAACACTTATCACTTATGTCTTTGTTCGTTTCACCGTTTTACCGTTTCACGTTTATTAGTTACTTTCTATAGCCGCCTGTCGTATCGGCGTTTAATTTATTATAACTTAATATATTTTATTAATTTCATATATCGGTTGTCGCCAGTCGCTGTAAAGTGTATTATAAATTCTGGTAAGTATCCATTTCATATTATTATACATTTATGTTTTAATTTTAACTTTGTTTCTTAAGCCCCGTCCACACCAAAGAAAAATTTGTCGGAAACACGTGTTTCCAACACTGTCGTCGACAATGTTTCCGATTTCCGCTCATAAGCGGTAACATAAATATTTGTCGACGACAATGTCATAAACTTTTGTTTCTTTCTTACAAATGTTTCTTGGTCTGGACCAGGCTTTAAGTTATGCAAAAGTATCTACCTATCAACGTTACAATTACTTACACAAATAGGTAGTACCTAATAGTCCTTGTAATATACCTCCTTGTATACCTTGTAGTCTTGTAGTTTTATTTAATTTATAATTATAATACCTAGTATACTTTCATAATTTGTTGGGCATTTTTGTTATTCATCAATCATCATTATATCTTAAGGGCTAAGACAAACTGAAATGTTATGTTTTGTTACATTGGTAGTTATTTAATAATAAATCAGTTGCTTATAAAGTATCTAATCCGTGTTATCTAGTCATAATTAACCTGGTCGCTGTCTTATATTAGCCATTAGGTAAACCGTTATTGCACTTTATAGAGAGTTTATATTATAGTTGTATTGTTATAATATAGGCTCTGTCTCAGGTCCTATAATATATATATAATATATATTGTCACATATCTGTCTGCTTTATAATGGTTTTCAAATAATTTTTATTTTCCTTCATGGTAAATGATATACTGCCATGTAAAGTTTAGAAGGGGACAATTCACTGCTAGTAGGTAATTTCATATTTTACTTATTTAAATTTTTTATTATAATACATAGATAAATGCAATCACTTATTATTGTAATGTTTTAAATACTTCATTTTTCTAATATAATTTCTTATATTATATATTCATACCACACCTATTAAAATAAGTATCTACTAAGGTACATTACTAGATAGGTCAGATAGGGCCTACCTATTAAATTAAATTTATTTGTTGGCCGCATTATAGTTAGTATATTATAAGCACCAATAATTTTATAGTTTTGTTAGTGATTATTTAAATTTTAAATTCTGTCATGTAGTAAATACTGAGTAAAAGTTCTAGAATTTGATATTAAACTTAAGTTCTTATTAAAATATTAATATAGATGGTATCTATAGTAAAGTAACAGAGTAGTTTTCCATGTGCCTAGTTACATTTATTTGTTATGAAAAATAAAAACATTAATTAAACCATTTTTTTTTTTACAATTTGAAATTAATTTTTATTTTAAATATACTTTTCATTACAAGAAAGAAATTAAAATACATAATATTAATATTTATTTAGTGAAAGATGATACGAAGCTATCGATCAAAATGTCGCAAAATTCAAGAAGAACTAGAATTTCTCAATAATAATCGAGCAACTATTTTGAATTCTGTTAAACCATTAAATGAACCAGTTCTTGATACAAATAATGTACTAAAAAGTTCATCTGTTCCTTCTTCTAATTTAACGAAGTCAAATGTTTTGGACTCTGGTGAAAATTATATTTTTGACACAAAACAAAAAAGTAATATTTTCATTGAAAATCCAATTGTAAATCAATGTGTTGAATCTACCTATGATATTACTAATAATGTTGGAACCAGCCCCACCACATATAATTTTAAAAACGATTCTGAAAGATTAAAATTAAATTTAGCAAACTGGGCAATTGAACGTAATTTTGCACAAAATACAGTGAATGATCTTTTATCAATTTTAAAACAACACAAATGTTTTGAAGAAATTCCAAGTGATTGTAGGACATTATTAAGTTCTAGTTCATCAAAAACAAAAGATATCAGGGTTGTTAATCCAGGGAATTATTATCACTTTGGCTTAAAAAGAGGAATTGAAAATACTTTAAAGCGTGTCAAGATTGAAGGTAACATTAAAGTAGTTGTTGGAATAGATGGCTTACCATTATCAAAAAGTAGTTCTAGCCAATTCTGGCCCATTTTAGCATACCTAGACCCATACAAAGGGTATATATTTTTGATTGGTCTATACCATGGACATAAAAAACCAGCAGATAGCAATGATTTTTTAAGACATTTTATAGAAGAAGCAGAAGATTTAGTTAGAAATGGCATTTATTTAGATAATAAAATAAGAACAGTTTCTATACATTCAATTTGTGCTGACGCCCCGGCAAAAAGTTTCATTATGAAAATCAAAGGACATACTGGTTATTTTTCCTGCACCAGGTGTCTTGCAGAGGGTGAACATGTCGGAAGTACTTGTTTTCCATTTAAAGAAAGTAATTGTAGAGAAAGAACACATGAAGGTTATATTAACAAAAGTCAAGAAAAACACCATGTAGGTGATTCATTATCTGATTTGATACGTATTCCGGGTTTTGACATGGTAAAATCATTTCCCTTAGATTATATGCACCTAGTGGCATTAGGAGTTATGAGGAAACTTATTCATTTTTGGTTGCATAAAGGTCCTTTGACTGTACGTTTACCAAGTTGGAAAATTAAAAAAATTAGTACAAATTTAATGTTTCTTAAATCTGCAATAACTAATGATTTTGTACTAAAACCAAGACTAATTCAAGATGTTAGTCATTGGAAGGCTACCGAGCTTCGTCAGTTCTTAATTTATACCGGACCACTTGCCTTGAAAAATGTACTTAATGATAAAGTTTATAATCATTTTATGTTTCTGAATATTGCAATGACTATTTTATTGAGTTCAAATATTGATGAAAAATTATTGAATTATTCTGATAAACTCTTAAAGCATTTTGTTAAAAAATTTGAAGAAATTTATGGTTCAAAATATATATCACATAATGTTCATGGATTGTTACACATATCTCAAGATTATAAACGCTATGGGTCTCTTGATTTTTGTTGTTGTTTTCCGTTTGAAAATCATATGAAAATTTAAAAAAAAATGGTAAGGAAACATCACAAGCCTCTTGAGCAAGTGGTTCGGCGATATGATGAAAGTAGGTAGTAAAAGACAGTTCTGTAACCTCAACCTGCTGGCAAATTCCTATACCCGTCTGCTCAACCCACTACACCGTCTGCTCAACCCACTATACCCGTCTGCTCAACCCACTATACCCGTCTGCTCAACCCACTACACCGTCTGCTCAACCCATGGTTGCTCTCTGCTCAACCCATGGGTTGAGCTAACTATCACGCACGTATACGATATGCCCCCCTTCCCACCTCCGCCACCGCCACCTCTCCACTTCACCGCCCAGCCATATATCACACACGTTAACGATGTACCCCCGCCACCCCACCACCTATGACCACCGCACGACATTGCCGCCGCGCGTGGAAAATAATTTAAAAATTTATCCGTCAGACCGGGATTCGAACCCGGTTCCCTTGCATGATAAGCGACCACCGTACCACTAGGCCGCCTACCCGCATATGTTTGAGAAGGTATATTCTATCTCATTTAACTGGCGTTTACGACGTCCGCTTACGTACGCGAGGTATAATTTCCCCCGCCACTATACCATACCAAGAGCCGCCGCGAACGCGCGCGCGAGCCCTCCGGTGCGTTATCAGTTATCACAGTGACCTTAACACAAAATAATCTACTGGTATATTTTTAACAATAAACGTTCATCACATTCCTTTGTAAGCGTTAGCAGTCTTAACAAACATGTAGCTATTCGCATAACATTTAGAAATATATATATATACATTCACATTCCTTTTTAAGCGTCATCAGCGTTAACAGACCTGTAGCTGCATGCATTACCCCCTCCCGATTAACCTGTAGGGACTTTTCGATGTCTCCCCCACCAATTAATATTTAATTTGTTCGTTTATGAACACAACTACACAACATAAATTCAGTCACTCTATATCGTTCCAAGTGTCTACTCCGCGCGTGTGCTTGTCTCATATTCAGTAGGTTAGTAATGGTTTGAACACTATACCATACGGATATTAGTACACCCGATATATAGGACAATCCGACGACCCTGTATTTTGTCACGTGACGGGGATCAGTGGTGGCGGCGGCGGCGGCGGTAGGGATTTTTGAATGAATGAATAGTCACTATTCATTACTGTCCGCAGTTGGTGATATAGTGTTCTATTATATTAACCTACATCTCGTTCGCTCTGCGCTAATACTACGCACGTAATTATTATATAACGTATTAATTTTTTCTTATCCGTTTATTTTAAAATGTTTAAATGCGAGCAATGTTCTTTGGGATTCGTATACGAGTCAAATCTGATCGCTCACCGAAAAACACATTCGAAATTGTTCAAATGCAGCAAATGTGCTTCGGAATTTACAGCGAAACGTAATCTGACAAGACACGAAAAAACGCACGGGGTATTCGTATACCGTGTATTAGGTGCGGCATTACGTTCAGTTACAAGACCAGCCTCAATAAACATTTGAAAAATGTTCATGGTATGTACCTATTTTCTATATTCACTTTAAATATTTATTTTATTTTAATTTTGTCATCAGGTATAGTACAGATCGCGCCACACGTTTTTGTACCAGACTTGCAACCTGGTACATCGCCCGTTCATAAAGATCGCGTATCAACTACACGAGATAAACAAAATGTTCGCTTAACACCCATGCGAGATAACACGGCGGATGCATTGACGAGTAACGCGAATGAATGCTGGGAGGTTCTCGACACCGCCGATCTTCTCGGGCAAAATGATCGCTTATCACCCATGCGAGATAACACGAAGGATGAATTTTGGAGTAATGTGAATGATGATCTATGCTTGAAAGTTTTGGACACCGTTGAGAATCTTGGACTTTATGATTTTCAAGGTTAGCTATTTCTTTTTATAAACGCGTCATAGGTTAATTTTTTTTTTTTTTTTTCTAAAGATTCATACACTACACTCGATAATGGTAAACGTGTTTCCAGCGCCAACACTAAATCCGCTGTTAGGGCAAAAAAAATACGTCTGAATCTCGTAAAGTCTCGAGGGTTTACAAAAATATCTACATCATCAAACAATACTATCACCTGGTACTACGTAAAAAACACCGCAAATATTCAAAACTATACATACTTTCTCGATTCGATCAAATCCGAACTAGTTAATTTACTAAAATCAATTACAAGTAAAAATCCGATCAAATTTAATTTAAAGCTTGAAGCGACATATAATATACCAAATGTTGAATATTCGTCGGAAAACCGTGCTTTTAAAACTTCGGCTAAGGCGGTTTTCTGTGATACTGAAGTACAGGAAATTGTTGAAGAGGCATTTACTAAATTAATGAAAGAGCAAGACGAGTATGCAAGCAAGGGTAGTGGTTTCACATTACAATGTATTGACGGGTTAATGCTGGGTATATATAAATATACACCTATGGGCGGTTCATCATATATACAACTGCCATACGCAATAGAAAAAAAAAGCTGTGATCAACCCTCAAAACTTAGATATGCAATGCTTCAAGTGGGCAATCCTAGCAAAACATGTTACAGGAGAAAATAAATACCGTGTTGGCGATAATTATTTAAAACACGAAAAAAAATATAATTTTTCTGGTTTAACATTCCCAACACCACTACATAAAGTTAAAATTTTTGAGAAAAATAATCCAAACGTGTCTGTCAATGTTTACGGTATCGACAAACAATTTCAACCGCCAAAATTTCCGGAATATAAAGTATTTCCGTTAAAAGTAGTAGATGAATAAAAACCCGACCATTTCGATCTACTTATTACATCAGACGAGGATAACAGTCATTATAGCTATATCTCTAATTTTTCACGACTCATCAGGTCACAAAAAACCAAACATGATGGACAATCAATTTTCTGCAAACGGTGCTTTGCAACATTCGATAAACAACAAAACAAATATAAATTAAACGGTGAGGCAGGGCTATAGCAACATAAATTAATATGTGGAGAACATAAACCTATACTAGCTCAGATGCCTGAACCTGGTACAATGCTCGAGTTTACTGCATGGAATAAAACGCAACGTCATCCTATAGTAATTTATGCAGATTTCGAAGCAATTCTCAAGAAGACTGATGAGAAAATTTTAGAAAAAACAGCAGCTTTTCAACAACACGAGCCCATGAGCTATGGACTTGTGGTTAAAGCAAATGAAGACATACCAGTAGAACTGCTTGAAAAATTTGAAATTCCAACATCACCTGTCATTTACCGTGGGGATGAAAATAATAAGGACGTAGCCGGACATTTTGTGGATAGTATTGTGGAAATAGCCAAAAAAATTGAAGAGTTACTCAAAACAAACATTCCTATAATTTACACAGACGAACAACGGAGAACACATGCATTATGTAATAATTGTAATTTATGTAAGGTCAAGTTTTCCCTAGAAAATCATAAAGTGGCAGATCACTGCCATTTATCAGGGAAATTTAGACAGTCACTATGTAATACGTGTAATCTTAAACTCCAAACACCTAGCTTTGTACCGGTATTTTTTCATAATTTAACGAATTATGATTCACATTTTATTGTCACTCGTCTTGGTTATGACGCACATTCAATTTCGGTGATACCAAACAGTGAGGAAAAGTTTATAACGTTTTCAAAATATATTAGCAACACTTTCACAATAAGATTTATAGACACATTAAGATTTATGTCCGCAAGCTTATCAAAACTTTCAAAAAATTTAATTACACCCGGATTTGAAAAGTTTAGAGAGACAGAAAAGTATTTTTCATCTCAAGATTTACCACTTGTTACCCGTAAGGGAGTCTACCCTTATGAGTATACAGATAGTTGGGACACGTTGGAAGAAACCGTTTTTGCCTCAGAAAGAAGATTTTTATAGATTTTTATAGTAGATTTTTATAGATTTTTATAGAAGCCGAGCTAAACAGATAGTTTTTTTGTATCCATAATGAATTGTTTTTATACTGTAAAATATCACTGTAGATATTATTTTTTTTTTTTTATTCTGTAAAATACCATGTAGATACTATTTTTTTTTTTTGTAAAGTATCTCTATGGATATTATATTTATTATTATTGCAAATAGTTAGGATAGGGTAGTATAAAGAAATAACTCACTGATATAAAAAAATAAATATAATGTTTATTTTTACATATTATTTACAAACCATTTTCTTAGGCTAAATACTTTATAAAATGAACATTGTTTAGGATTGAAATTCATATGAAAAATACAACATGGTAAAGTTTCTTCATCACATATTTGGTCTAGTGGAGGGCATCCCATGTCTTCAATATTGATGATTCCGATGTGAGGAATATACTCTAAAATAAGTTGTTTTTTCTGATCGCCTTTAACGTATATGAAGCTAAACTTTAACGAATTCAGCACTCTGCCTAGTTCTTCATACTCAACATCGCCATATTCCAGAGATAGTTTATGATAATTACGTTCCAACCACTTGTTAGTCTTACGACTCTTGTTATCCTGTATTGATTTTTAATTTTTAAAAATCCAATGTTGGGTAGCCCATGTTTCTACATCTACTACAGACATTTATTTTATCATGTATTTATTGTCCCTCCCAAGAATGCAATGAAAATCAATGATACCAGTAGACATAATTGCTTGGATGATGATGATGATGATGATGATGATGATGATGATAGTACTTTAGGGATTTTTTTTCAAATTGTCTGTATTTTCTCTGATATTTTGTAACATTGCTTCGATTTTTATAAGGCGCTCTTGTATATCATCACACGTTAATTGAAGTGTTTCAGTCTGCTCTTCCTGTGTTTGAATGGATTTATGATTTTCCTCGAGTAAATGTTCTAACTTACTTAGTTTTATACAATATGATTTTACGGTTTGTTCGAGATTTGTCACAAATTTTTTTGTTTCACCAGCCTGTGAACTTCCGAACACTTTCATGTCTAGTGTTCGACTGACACTATTTTCTGATGTCGCTCGTATCTATCCAACTT